GTGACAGTGTGCACGTGCCCCTCTTCCTTGGTGCACTTGGTTCTTCGCCGCCTTGGTTCTGTGTTGGGCCCTGCTTCGTAACCAAAGCCTGGGATTTCAGAAAGGTGGGGATGTCTGGCCTCATGCTAGATGTGGCCCATTCACTGGGAATGTCTCATGTCTTCTTCTCACCTGGACCCCAAGCATCTCTAGGGGGAGCACTTACCTTGTCCTTGTACGACTGCACCCTGGGCGGGCGTGGGGCAAGGGACAGGACTCTGCAGGCTTGGAGGAGACACCACACATGAAGCATTTGTTCAGCCCGGTGTCCGCAGAGAGCCAGCGCTTGAGGGATGACAGCTGTTGGTATTGCTGGGGGATTTTTCTTTCTTTCTTTTTTTTTAAGTTGATATAATTCACATGCCATAAAATCCACCTTTTTCAAGTACACATACAGTTCAGTAGCTTTGAATGTATCCCCCAGATTGCTCACCCAACACCACTGTCTAAGTCCAGAACATTCTCGTCACCCCAGAGAGGAATAGACTCGTCTGTAGTCTGCCCCGTCCCACTGTCCCCTCGCCCCTGGCAGCCAGTCTCCTTTCTGTTTCTCTGGCTTTGCCTGTTCTGGACATTTCATATAAATGAAGTCATACTATGTGGCTTTTGTGACTGGCTTCCTTAGCTTCGCTAAGCGTTCTGTCGTCAAGGTCATGTTATAGCGTGTCTCATTCCGTTTTCTGGCTGAAGAAGACTCTGTTGAATGGGCATATCACACTTGGTTTATCCTCTCATCAGGGGATGGACATTTGGGTTGTTGCCACTTTTGGGCTCTTACAAATGATGCTGCCATGGACATTGCTGGGCAGGTTTTTGTGTGGACGTGTGTTTCCATCCCTTTGGTTTTGTATCTAGGAGTGGAATTACTAGGTTGAGACCCTTTCCCAAAGCAGCGGCACCATTTTACTTCCCCACCAGCAATGACAGCACTTTTGTCTTTTTGATCATAGCCATCCTCAGTAGGTATGAAATAATACCTCATTGTGGTTTTGATGTGCATTTCCCTGATGGTTAATGATGTTGAGCATCTTTTCACACACACTTGGGCCATTTGTAGGTCTTATTTTGAGAACTGTCTATTCAAATCCTTTGTCCAGGGACGCCTGGGTGGCTCAGTCAGTTAAGCGTCTGCCTTCGGCTCCGGTCATGATCCCAGGGTCCTGGGATCGAGTCCCGCATCGGGCTCCTTGCTCAGCGGGGAGCCTGCCTCTCCCCCTACTTGTGCTCGCTTGCTCTTTCTCGTTCTCTCTCCCTCTGACAAATAAACAAATAATATCTTTAAAAAAAAAAACCCCACATCCTTGCCCATTTTAAATTTGGGTTGTCTTTTTATTGTTTGTTAATAGTTCTTTATATGTTTTGGATACTAGCCTCTTATCAGATGTATGATTTGCAAATATTTTTCCCCATTCTGTGGGTTGTCTTTTCACTTTCTTGATAGTGTCCTCTGAAGCGCAAAAGTTTTTAATTTTGATGATATCAGATTTACCTATTTTTACTTTGGTTTTTTGTACTTTTAGTATCTTAAGAAACCATTACCTGACTCAAGGTCATGAAGATTTACACCCATGTTGTCCTCTGAGAGTTTCACTGTTACAGATCTTATATTTAGATCATGATCCGTTTTGAATCAATTCTTGTGTATGGTGTGCGGTAGGATTCCAGCTTCGTTATTTCGCACATAGATATCTAGTTTTCCTACCACCATTTGTTGAAAAGACTGTCGTTCCCGCCCCCCTGATCATATTGGCGCCCTGGTGGGCAGTCTGCTGACTGCGGACGGACGGGTCTGTTTCTGGTCTCTTGGTTGTATTCCATTGATCTGTAGGTCTGTTCTGTACCACTACCGTACTGCATGATTACTGTAGCTTTGTAGGAAGTTCTTAAATTGGGAAGTGTGAGCCTTCCAACTTTGTTCTTTTTCAAGATTCCAGGATTGGCTATCCTGGGTCCCTTGCATTTTTACACGAATTTAAGGACTATCTTGTCAACTCCCACTAAAAGAAAGCCGGGATTTTGATGGGGATTGCGCTGAATCCGTAGATCACTGTGGGAGTGTCGCCCGCTTAATATATTAAATGTCTTATTCATGAGCGTGGGATGTCTTTCTATTGAGATCTTCTTGAATGTTTTTCAGCCATATTTTATAGTTTTCAGCATTTAAGTCTTTGGTTAAATTTATTTAAGTGTTTTTATTTTTTAATGCTACTGTGAGTAGAATTATTTTCTTAATCTCATATTCAGATTATTCTTTGCTAACATATAGAAATATAATTGGTTTTTTTGTGTGTGTATTTATCTTTTCTTTTGCAGTCTTACTGAACTTATTTATCTTAATAGGTTTTGGGTTTTTGTGTGTGTGGATTCCTTGGGATTTTCTGTAAACAGGATCATGTCACCTGCATAGAGAAGCAGTTTTACATCCTCTTTCCTGTCTGGAGGCTTTTTATTTCATTCTCTCTCCTAATTACCCTGGCTAGAACCTCCACTATGGTGCTGAATAGAAGTGGCAAGAACAGACATCCTTGTCTTGTTCCTGGTCTTAAGGGGAAAGCGTCCAGTCTTTCACCCCAACGTAGAATGTTTCTGTGGTTTTTGTAGATGCTCTTTAAACAGATTGAAGAAATTCCCTTCTATTCCTGGTTTCTTGTGTGTCTTTATCCTGAAGGACATTGGATTTTGTCCAGTGCTTTTTCTGAGTCTTTTGGAGATGATCATTTCAGTAAAAGCTTTGTCCTTTATCCTGCTAATATGAAGTGAGCACTTTATCTGCGAGGGAGCCAGCTTCCCAGGTCTGAGCCTCCCCAGCTACACCACATGCTCACTGTGTAACTCTGGGCAGGGGACGTCATTTGTAAACTGGGAGTGACTACTTTCTCATGGGGCTCTTGTGAGGGGGGCTTGAGTTGCTTTGTAGATGGTGTTGTCTGGCACATATCAAGTGCAGTTTACGGAGCACTTGGCTATGATCGGTGACATGTGAAAGTGTGGGTGGGCTAGGGTGGGAGGGGACACTGATGGGGGCATTGCAAGGCTAATGTAGGGCCAGGCTGATGCACCTGCTCTGAAACGCCTGCTCATGGGGAGTCTGGAAGCTCTCACGGGAGGTGGCCTGTTGGGCTCCAGTCATCTCTGAACCTTCCTTTGGGAGGGGATGGGCCATGCATGAGGCACAGGTGAGCACCTGTCTGCTGCAGAACCCTCCAGTCTGTTCAGGCCTTGCGTGTCACATTCTGTCAGGTCTGGGCTGCAGGGGCTGTGTGTTCGCAGCAACAAGCTTCCCCGCCTGGGCTCTGAGTCTAGGCTTGGTGGGGCGGGGGGCAGAAATGGGTCCTTGTCTAGATAGTGGCTTACCACTGAGAGCCAACAGGTAGCCCCACCTCCCCAGCCCGATTTTCCTGACTTCTCTGTTCCTGGCCTCCCCTTTAACCTGGTTCCTTGTCCTGCCTCTGTCACTGACCGTCACGTGACTTCGGGCAGACTGCTTGTTCGGGCCTGTTTTGGCCTCTGTCCACAGAGGCACTGTCACAGCAGTTTGAGGATTAAATGAATGCTCTGTTTGGAGGGCCTGCAGCACCATCTGCCAGGGCTCAGCAAACACTGTCCCCAGACCACCCTCCCGTGGTCCGCAAGAAGCCCTGCAACCCCCGAAATCTGCCAACAGTTCTACGCCTATATGGAGTTTGGATTTTACAGGTGGGTGGGGGGAGAGATAAAGACACTTTTAATATGCCCTGTGTAATTCTTGGCATTCATTTTTATGAGCTCTATGAGGCTGGATCTTACTACCTTGGTTTAATGTACTGACCTTCTAGCCAGCCAAGTAGTTCGAAGTTCCTGGAGACAGGCCACTTTGCTTCTTTACTTTTTGGTTTGTTTTCCAAGGTTTGGGGGAGGAGGGCACCTTACTAACACTCAGCCTTTCCCTGTCCCTATGCTCAGAAGTACAGGGTGGTCCCACCTCCTGAGGAGCTACTGGTCTGATCTGAGAAGGGGCCTAGACAAGAAGCAGTAATAACAAGCCAGTAATGTAATTTAGCAAACGGTAGGGAGCATCAGAATACATTTGGTTATCCCACAAATCATCTGTTTTGCCCTAACTCGGTGCCTGGCACCAGGAGCATCCCGACAACCAGAGCAGACTCAGCTCCCAGAGCTTTTCAGAAAAACCAGATGTACCGAGAACCCGCTGGATGGGCGCCCCTCTGAAACCGGGGACTCAGGCAAGCCAGGGTGTGAGAAGGTGTTGGCAGCGGGGCAGGGCCAGGGCTGACATGTGTCTGCAGGAGGCTGGAGAAGGGCCGTGAGCATGCTTGAGAGAGAAAGAGAGGGAGGGAGGGAGGGAAGGAGTCAGGAGGCCACACCAGCAGGCAGTGGCTGATGAGATGTGTCCCCCCCAGCCTCGGCTTCCTTCTCATAGGATTGTTCTGCAGACTTCAGAGGTGCACGCAAAGCCCATAGCACAGTGCTAGACGCGTGGCCGGAGCTAACCCCACAGTGTCACTTCTGCAGTTACTGTGAAGCCAATAAGGCGTGTGGTAGGAGAAGGCTTTATTGAACCAGAAAATGTTCATAGTTCACTGAGTGAACATTTGGGTTCCCAAGACAGCGTCCGGTTGTAGAGTTCTGTGTGCATACATGTGCACGTGCCTCTAGGCTTGGTGGCGGTAGTAGTCGTATTTGTGAGTGCATGTGGTTCTTTTCTTTGGTCTTCAAGTTTTATGCTTATCATACGTTGGTTCTGTAATTACAGAAATGTTAATACAAAATGTAATTAAAGACCACGCCGCTGTTATTGTCGGTGTCTGCGCGCACGCTCGTGCCCTCGCTGCGGAGTTGGGGGTGCCCGCTCGGGAGAGCGGCGGTGCCGAGGGAGGCCCTGGGGAGGTGGGTCTGTCACAGGAAAGTGGGCCTGGGGGCAGTGGGCGGCCTGCTGACGTGGGCTTCTTCTCTGTCCACAGATGACAGGATCTGCTCGCCACCCTTCATGGAGCTCACGAGCCTGAGTGGAGACGACACTATGAGGCTCCTGGAGCAGAACGGCCTGGCGTTCCCCTTCAGTGCGTACCACCCCGGGCCCCGCTGGGCAGGCTCAGCAGGCACGGCAGGCTGCAGGCCGGGTGGCGGTGGGGAGCTCCCTGTGGCTCCCCGGGATGCACGAGGGCCTTGGCTGCCAGGGAGGGCTGAGCCCCGCGTCCCGCTCCCACCTGCGCAGTGGAGATGGGTCCTTAGGTGGTGTGGGCTGGCGGTGCTCTGCCGGCCCGGCAGCGTCTGTCCAGACCACCGTGAGTGCGGATGCTGGCCACCATTGAGCCGGCGTGTCTCCTGCCCCTTATCCCCACGGGCTGCAGGAATTTCAGGAATTTCTCCCCATGTCTGCCAGGTCAGGCTTTGTGGGGAAGTCACCTCACTGATTTCTCTCTGCTTTTCTCTCCCTGCTCCGTAGTTTGCAAAACCAGAGTGGCTCATGGCACCAACTCTCACGAGGTAAGCGGAAGCTTTGACTGCCCTCTTCCCCCGCTTCCTTCCCCCGTGTCCCTGTCTTTCCAGCTCACAGTGTCTCTCTGGGAGCCCACAAGAGTCTGTGTGCTAGATCCCACCCCTGCTGCTCCCGCTCCCTGTCTTGTTCCTGCTTGTGGCTCTGCACACTGTCGCCAGCTTCTGCCCATGCCTGGCTTGTCCCCAGGGGTGGGAGGCGTGTGCCAGGGGTCTGCCTGCCCGCTCTGAGCCCTTGCAGATCATGTTCCAGTTTGACCTGTCCGGCTTTACGACCTCTGGCTTGTCAGTGTGGATCACTCCCTGGGCGCCCGCTCTGTGCCGGGCCCTGCACTGGGCCCCTCTGCGTGCTGTGAGCTGGAAGGATGCTCTCACTGCCCCCACAGCACCTGCCTGCCAACCTCCCACCTGCCCCTTTCACTAGCACCCGGTCCCTCTGTGGGTCAGCACCTTGCGCTTTTCTGACTAGTGGCTCTAGTCACTATTAGCGTGGTTAGACCGTCCTGATGCAGAAAAGCTTCAGCCTGCAGGAGAGGAACCGCTTCTCTCTTCGTGAGAGAATTCTGGAATCATACAGACCTGGGAGCAGGCCTGGCTCTGTGCACTGCCAACTGTGTGACTTTGGGCAGATCCCCCAGCCTCTCTGAGTGTCTGTCCGCACTTGTAAGTGGGGATGTGATGGTTGTTGAGGAGGAGGGGCTTGCTGCCTGTGCTGCCGTGGGGCCTGGCACAGAAAGCATTGGGTGTGCTGTGAGGGAACCAGGCACGGAGCCTGTCAGGTCACTGCAGAACGGTGGGGGTTCCGGATCCAAGTGAGCTCCCTCCTTGGCAGGAGTCTCGACCCTCACGTCTGGGGTCAGTGTGTTCAGGGGAGGCTTTCATCCCTTAGTCTAGCTGTCGGAATCTGGCTCCAAAATGTACACATGTGTGCATCCCTGTCTCTCCCGACCCACAGTGTGCTGTTTCAGGGAGGGGCTCCTCTGCTCCTGAGCGGGGGACGGGGTGATTGGGAACGGAGCCTCCAGGATTGGAATCTGGAGGCTCCCGGGGAATTGGTGTGTGCTGCGGGCCACCTGCTTCCTGGGAGGCTTTCATGTCAGAGGGCTGCTCCCTCGCGTGGGGCGCCCCCCACAGCATGAGTCTGGAGGTTGGGCGGCAAGGCTTCTCACCTATTCTAGGGGTGCCTGGGGATGTTGAGTGCAGTGAGGATAGAGGACAGCTCTGTGGACATGATTGGCTTTAGACAGGAAAGTGAGGCTTTCTGATTAGGGTCCTTGCCTCGACTGAGGTCTCCCTGAGCCCTACCTCTGAGTCCCCCAGCCCCAAGCTTAGTGAAACCCAACTAGTTTGGCCAAACTACTCTCTTTCATTGTATGTTCACAGAGCTGTCTGGGTTTTTGTCTTGTTTTTAAACCAGTGCAAGCACACTGATTTGCTTAGAGTGAAATTACCAGCCCCCCCCTTCTGAGTTGAACCCCTGAGCCAGAAGCCCAAAGCGCCTCTGAAGCTATCCTGTGGTAGTTACTGCTGCTGTTTCATAAGTGGGGAAAATGGAGCAAGTTCCACCCCCACCCCCCCCACCCCCCCACCGCACTCTGGCGGCTGGGTGCTGGAGCTAGGACTTAAACCCGTGTCTGGCTCTGGAGCCCCCCGTGTTCTTTCCCTTCCTCGGCAGAAGGCTAAGGGGACGGTCCCTGTGGCACGTGCACACACACACATACATGCAGTGCGTGCACGGTCTGCTACCCCATGTGGCCTGGATCTCTGCTTCTGCCCCGTGTGGCTAAGCACTGAGAACGTTGGGGTGGTGCTCTGTGATCGTGGACGCCAGGGGCGGGTGCCGGCACAGGCGGCCAGCTGTCCAGGCTCTGACATTCCTGCCCCGAGTTCTGGGCATCTGGTGGCTCCTTCCTGGGGCCTGTGGGCTGCGAGGGATTAGCCGTGGCCCCAGACAGGCAGCTGACAGCCCAAGCAGAGATTTTTCTCCAGCTGCCCTTCTGCTCTCCCTGCTTTAGTGGCCTACCAGATCCTTCTGGGGGGACCTTTGTCCCCAGACAATCAGGGACTGGGAGCAGCATGTTCCCGCCCCTCAAGCCTCCATGTAGCTTACTCCGTGTGTCAGAGGCCAAGGCTGCATGCTGGGCAGACCCAGTCCCATCCTGGGCTCTCCAACAAGCCACTGAGCTTTTTAGGGCCTCAGTTTCCTCGTCTGTAAAAGGTGCATGAGAATAGTGCCCCCCTCAGAGGTGCATTGTGAGGACAGCACCAGGTGACTCACATTGAGCGGTCAGAACAGGGCTGGGCATGTCGTGAGTGAGCAGCCAGAGGCAGCCTTTCTCCACATACGGATTTTGACCCAAGGCCTCCTAACTCCCGATCCGTTGCCTTCCACTTCCTGCCTCACCTGGATCTTTGTGGAGAAACCTCTAAGGAGGTCATAAAGAATGTGTAGTATACAATTGGGGGTCCTATTTCCTGGATCACAGTGTGAATAGAGGAGTTGTGCAGTGCACAGCCAGCTCAACCCTACAGGGAGAGCCTGATGTTGCAGGATTTCTAAGCCCCCGGAGTAGGAGTGAATTGATCCCCAGGTGTTCTTCTCAAGTCTCACTCCACTCACCATGGCTTGAGATTTTTCATGGAGAGTCCTCGGTTCACAGGGTTGGTCCTTGGTGGCAGAGCTCTGGACTGGTGACGTGCCCCTGTGTCTAAGACAGTCCTTGGCCCCCTGTCTCCACAGATGGCCATTGTGTTCAACCAGGAGGGCCTGAGTGCCATCCAGCCGCCCTGTGTGGTCCAGAACTTCATCAACCACAACGCAGTCCTGTACAAGGTGTTTGTGGTGGGCGAGTCCTACACTGTGGTCCAGAGGCCCTCGCTGAAGAACTTCTCTGCGGGCACGTCAGGTAACCAAGCTTGCTGTCATCTCGGGGGCCCAGCTGGGGACAGGCATCAGCCGTCGGTCCTATAGCATTTCCACTGCCACCCTGTGTTATTTTTGGGGGGGGGGGTGTGGGGATAGGCTGACCTGAAGGTTGAAGGAGTTGCATGCAGTGGGTGAGGAGGTCTCGGAGAACAAGGTGAAACCCCATCCCACCAGGTCATTGTAGGGGCTCCATCCATCTGAACCACCAGGATGCTTCCTGGGGCCCCACACAGAAATGAGACTCACGAGGAACATGCTAGAATGGATGATGGGCCCTTCAGGGAAGTGAGTTTGGGAAAGGGCCCCTCGTATTTTGAGGGTCAGAGGGCTGACTGCTTTATCAGATCCCCTTTTTCCAAGTGGGGAAACAGTTACTAGCCGCTTCTGCAGCCGCTGAGGTGGCTCCGCGCTCCGTTAGAAGTCCTGCAGGCTCATGGCGTTTCCTAGCTGTGGGACCTCCGGCAGGCAGGTCCGTGTGGGCAGTCATCCCCACCAGGCCCCCCCTTTGCAGGGGTGAGGCCCGAGTCCAAGTGTTTCGGATCCTGGGTATCCCTCAGGTGTCACAGGTGGTGGCATCTGCAGGATGCTGCCATCATTGGAGGCTGGGGGCGCTCCACAAACTCGGCTTTTTTTTAGCTGCTCTCCTGACACCAGGTGGTCCTTGGTCCTTTCAAAAACAGACGCTAAGATAAGGATTTGCTGGTGTTGGGGCTGCTCAAAAGAATGTCTGGGGGTTCTGAAGGCATCTCTAAGGCAAGTTCCAGAAACCTTTGGAACAGAGTAACAGCGTCTTTGAAATAAGCAGAGCTTTCTGAGAGGACCCCTTGGAGGATATTTGATTGTTCTCATGTGGTTTGCTCAAACACGCCGTACATTTATCTCTGCAAGGGAAACCCGCCATCACCAGATGTATTGAAATACCGGGCTGTTCTGTCTCCATCTGAGCAAACAGATGTGTCTTCTTAAAAAGTCTCTCCTGCTGGGATTGCCTGTCACCATCCGCTCCTGGTCTTGAATGAAGTTCAGCTGTTCTTCCCTGGACAGCTTTTTTCTTCCCATTAACACAACACAGAGAGAGCAGATACTTTGGAAATGTGCATCGATTCTTCACTTCCTTTCTGGGTGCAGGCAGCCTCCTCGTCGGGTGTGGGGCCCCAGGACTCGAGTCTGCATTGCCAGGGTTTGTCACCGTGGTCCCAGCCCCAGCACACTAGGATGATGGAATGATCTAGGGGTGAGAGGACCATGGACTGGGGTGGGGGGGTCGTCTTTTTGTATGTGACTGTATCCCAGCAAGAGGCATTCTTACAAATTGTGGGCGGAAGAGTAGGCTATATGCCCAGCATGGAGCCCAGCTTGGGGCTCGAACTCACAATCTTGTGATCAAGACCTGCGTGGAGATTAGGAGTCGGATGCTTAACCAACTGAGCCACCCAGGCTTCCCAAGAGACTTTTTTTTTTTTAATCTTCTGTTATTTTCCTGATTTTTAAAAAATACATGCTTTAAGTCTGTGGAAAATGTATTAAATTAAGAGTGGTATACCTTATGTAGCTCCCTTTCTTTTCTTTTCTTTTTTTTTCCTTTACCAAAATTCCTCTACCTGTAAAAGGAATTTATCACCAGGTTTTCTTCCTTTGAAGACAAAAAGTATCCTTTTTTTTCTCCTTTTCGTCCTGGTTGCAAAGTGCTGGGCCAGCTTCTGTCTCAGCACCGGGAGCCTTTCGCAGTAGGGTGTGGACTCTGTCCTGTGTCATGAGGACGCAGGCTCCATGGCTGTGTGTCTTCTGACCATTTCCAGCTTGCCAGTTTTCCATGAAATGTCAGCTGGGGCCAAATCGATGAGTAGATAAGCACACAGAGCTAAGGCCGAAATGTTTATTGTGCTCAGATAAGCTGACTAACTTTCAGCGTGTTCGTCCATCCATCCCCAAAGCTGGTTTCATGTCTGCAGCCTTTGGGGCATCGTGCCAGGGAGCTGGTGTGGGCTTTGTTCTCTTGGTCTGTGTGTTCTTTCCGGATCAGAAGCATAAATCGACAGTGGTCCTTTAAGCTGGACCAATTGAGCAGGGGGGCTTTGGGGGCTCTGGGCTCTTTCTAGCCCCCACCCTGGCTTTCTGGTTCTCGTCCAGCACGGCAGGCCTGCAGCTTCCCCTGTCCGCGCAGGTGGCTGGGGCTCCTTGAGTGGGATTCTTCAGGACCTCCGGCGAGCGGGGGCGGGGGTGCAGCCAGGGACACTAGCCTTCCCTCCATAACTACCGTTCTGATGATTCTCGGGCACTTTTGGGTTTTACTGGACGGCCTCTCTGAAGTCAGGTGTGTCTTAGGGCCAGTGGCATCTCGCGCTTGCCTTGCCTGGAATGGAAGTCGGTTTCTTACTGAGAGGGTTGGTGTCCTGCGCCAGCCACCAGGAACACATATTCTCTGCCTTTCGTTCACAGCTGGGCAGACTGCTCCCCTCTCTCTACCCAGGGCCAGGATCCAGATGGGCACGTTTCTCCGCTCCCTCTTTTGTGCGGTGGATTTACTTCTGTTTCTTGACTGTGAGGACTAGTGCCTTTGTTCTACTCTCCTTCCTGGGCCTTTTTCCCCTTGGGGTCCATAAAAGAACGGCATCGCTTAGCACACAGAGCTGGGCTCAGCAAACTTTTTCTGCAAAAGGTCAGATAGTATGGCCAGCTCTGTCGTAGTTATGTACCTCTGCCCTTGGAGCATGAAAGCAGCTGTAGACAATGTAGAAGCAACTGGGCATGGCTGTGGCTCCATAAAACTGTATTTACAAATGCAGGTGACAGGCCAGATTTGGCCTCCAGGCTCTGGTTTGCTGACCTGTCACCTAGAGCCTCTCCGTAGATGCCGTATTTCCTTGAAGCTGCCACGTGCCCAGCCCTGTGCCAGGTACTGATCCAGGAGGGAACGAGGTAGTCAGCCAAGCACCGTGCCCCCACGTGCTCGTATTCTAGTGGGAGAGAGTGCCCATGTGGAAAGAAATAATAAAAAGATGCATCATGGCATAGATGAAGGGCTCCAGAGGAAGCAGTGGGGTCCGGGGCCGCTGCTGGGTGAGGGAGCCCCTTGGACAGGGCAGCCAGGGCCGGCCCCTCTGGGCGGCGGTTACGCGAATGGGACCCGGCAGAGCATTTGGGCCCCCGTCTGCAGCACTGTGACCTGTTTCCCTGGCCCTGAGACCTGCGTGGAGATGAGGCAGACGGAGCAGAAGAGTGAGTGGCCGCTTCTCCTGACTGCTGAGTTACTGCAATATTGGGGTGTTAAGCTGGTCACGGACTCTCTTCTTTCTCATCTGTAAATTGGGGGCCACGGCACCCCTATTCCCTTCATTACCCTCCTGCCCCCGCGGGGTGTTGGTGGGGCTTCTTCACTTAGGCTGTGTGTCTCAGGGCCGCTGCGGACACGGGGAATACCTGGGGCCCCAGATCCAGAGTGCTGCTGTGATTAGGGTGCCAGGGTCTAGCCAACTTCATCTCTAGAGGGACTTGGTCTCTGAAAGCTCCCCGAGGAGTTGGCATCAAAGGACGTGTGACCCGTTCTGACCCGTCTTGGCTTCCCAGTCTCCGGGGTCGGGGAGTGGCTGGAAGCTGCCCGCACGCCCTGTGGCCCCTGCTCAAGCCAGACACAGGTAGGATGTGAGCAGAGGATGTCTCCCCCTCCCCCACCGCCAGTTCTCACCGGTCCTCTGGCCAGAGCCCTCGGATCAGAGTTAGCCAGGAGAAGAAGCGGTCTCCTTTGAAATGGCCCACATGTGTGACTTGGTCTTCCTGCTGCAGGGAGCTCTTGGGTGACATGATCTGTCCAGTTCAGCAGGTGCTGGCTGTGCCCTTCTGAGTGCCCAGCTTCTTGCCTTCTTGGCATAAACACCCGTGGTGTTGCCTTGTGGCTCCTGCAGGCTTCCCAGCCTCCCTGAACTTGGCTGTGTCTGTCTGCTCTGCGTGGCCCTTTACCAGCCCCCCCCCCACCCCCAGGCTTGCTCTGCCACCCTTGGGGACCCTCGGGGTGGGTGGGAGGCACCCTGAGTTTGGTGGGGTTGGGCCAAGGTGGGCAGTGCCTACAGAAGGCCAGAATGCCCCACTGCAGCTGCCCGATCCCTACTCTGTCCTCTGGCCCACAGGCCTTGCCACCCCTCAAGGCTCACTCTTTTTGGCTGTCAGCGCCCAGGAGTAGAGATCGGTGGGGCTGCCTGGCACAAGTCCTGCAGGGTGTTTATTTTCCCCAGGCTCCTCCCCAGGACCGTCTCTCGTGCCCCCCGTCTGGACTGGCTCTGGTCGGAGCGGCGGGAGGACTGTCGGGTACACCGGGGCGGCAAGGGGCCTGTGTGCCCCACTAGCGGGAAGGATGCCAGGTACATCTCAGCACCTGCCTGCTTGGCCTCCGCCCGAATCACTTTCTCATGCATGATTGTTGCGGCGCCGTAATCCTGGAGCTGGTGGGGGTCCTTGGCGATCAGAGCAGGTTGCCCCCTGTGGCCTGGCCCCACCACACCATGGTGCTCAACCAAGGCCCTTCCTGTCCTGCGCTCAGGGGCCTGGGTCCCAGGGATGAGCAGTGTGTCCTGGGAACGGGAGCCACGATGCCCCGTCCTGGAGGGACTGAAGCAGAGGCTGCCAGGGCCACGTAGGGGCTCATGGCCCAGGACATCCCCATGTCATTCTTGGTGGGGGGGGGCACGGGGTGGTGAAGCTCGCGGCTTTGTGATTCTTGCATTCCTGTGCCCGTGCTTCCACGTGCTTGAGAACGTGTGACCGACCAACCTCACTCCATGGGATGGATGGACAAACCAGCTGCTTATTGCTGTCATTATTCTTGGGATCGGTCTGCCCATCTGGGTGGTGCCCCAGTGGGACTGAGGGTATGGTGGGAGGCAGACATGGATCAGGAAGTATGGTGTGGGAGGAGGTGGAGGGTGTTTCAGGGGGGCTGTGCCAGCTTCCAAAGGCAAACAAATTTTTCTGTATACTTTTCTTGGATGGATCCTATAAAAGCCCATGTTCCGATTTCCTATTTTTTCCCCTATGTATTTGGGAAACAGCAGAACCCTTTGTATTCTAAAGGCCACTCACGTGCCAAGTGGCTGCTTGGGCATTTCTCAAGTGCTACGCTGAAAAGGAGTACCATGATCCCATAACTGGGAGGGGCTGGAAATACCGGATTAAATAGCATTCCCCGGACCTCTTGACTTCGGGCCTTTGATACTCTGGTACACTGCATCTCCCACTCACTCAGCCACCACGACATCCTCCTAGCCCCCTCTCTAGTGCCACGTCCATAAGACGCACTGGACACACTTTGGAATGTGGCCTCAGGTGTCGGGGAAAACCAGATAGGATCCTGTAAGATGGTAGCAGAGGTAGGCTCATTAAGGCAATTATTTTTGTATGGGAAATGGGAGCCCTCAGTGGACATGTTTCCGGTCATGGTGCCATGTCTCCTTGGCGTGGGGGTGCCCGGCTCACTGGGGCCCCAGGTGGGCTGCTACCGGATGCCGAACCGTAAGGCCACTGAGACTGTGGCTGGAGTGGTGCTGCCCCCTGGTGTCAGCTGGTGGAGTTACCTTCTCTGCCTTGAGCTGACTCTGGCTCCTTCCTGTCTTTGCTTTTTCAGACCGGGAGTCCATCTTCTTCAATAGTCACAACGTGTCGAAGCCGGAGTCCTCATCGGTCCTGACAGCGGTATGTTCCTCCTGCCGTAGTGGCCTTCCCTCCCGACGCTGGGTATGCGGGTGCCGCTCGCAGTGGGGCCCAGGGCTGAGCTCCAGCAGAGCGCTAGGTTACTCCCGAGGGAAGATTTTCTAACTCTTCTCCCAGAGTGAGGATCTCCCCACCCTCCTCCCAAGTCACGAGGAATTTGCAGACCTGCTTGCTAATCTGCCTTTTTCCTGATTTAAAAAAAGGGGTGGGAGGCAACAGCACCTCCGTCTTCCTTTCTCTTTCCTTGTCCACGTGAATCCAGTAAGTGTTTGTCAAGGGCCTGCTGGTACCTTTGCGGCGGTGGCTCACAGGGGCAGGCGGGCTTGGGGCGAGTTCCGTGAACATTGCTGTGTGTCAGGCACCGTCCTAGACGCCCCGCGGCATCACACCCGGGCCCCGACTCACCCTTGAGGGAGCAGGGCCGACAGCTCTGTTTTCTGGAGTGGGGAGGCTCATGCTCAGCAAGGTTGAGTGACTTCTCCAGACTCACAGGGCTCTTCCCTCAGAGGCCACGCTGGCCCATGACTCCAGATTGGTCTGATTCCAAAGCTGGGTCTCTTGGGAATTTCGGACTTCTTCCCTCACTGGCACCTGCAGAGCAGGGTTTGCCCAGAGCAGAGAGTTAGAAATTGTCACAGGGCAGCTTCTGCCGTCCCTCTCAAGTCCAGCAGGCTGGCGGTCTCCTCTGCCCCTTTCCCTGACCTTGGACCCCTGGGCTGCATCTCCTGAGTCATGGCCATGCTGGCTAATCTGGCAGGATTTGCCTGTGCCCTCCTCCCTGTGCTAGGCTGTTCTCACCAACAGCATCCACAGTAGGCCCCTGCCTCTGGGCCTTACTCCCCTCCTTCCTGTACTGGGGGCATGCACTTGCCTATCACATCCTGCCCCCCCCCGCCCCCGGACCGCCTGTTCATTTCTTGTGTCTGGTTCCTCTGAGGAGCCAGCTGTGTGCTGAGGGTTTGACAGAGCACAGGCGTGGACTGGGACCAGGAGGGAGCACCAGTGTCCCTCAAGATGTTGAGAGACGTTCCCCAGGAACAAGTGCTGTGGTCAGGGAAGCTTGGAGAACAACCAGATTTTAAGCCAGAATCTCTCCGCGCCTGGCTGTGTGCACTGTAAGATACAAAAAGCTGTTTTGTGCAAGCAAAGGGGTGCTGGTCTTCTAACCTTCAGAGACTTTAGACTGACCCAGTTCCGCAGGGCTTCTTCCCTGAGAGGGTCTCAGACCTTGTTTGGCTGGTGAGTTTGTGGGGCGGGGGTGGCATTCCACAGGCTTCCCGGGACGCTGCCCCTGCCAGTCCCTGTGTGGCTCTAGCGGCCCCTGGGGCTGTTCACTGATCCCAGAGGGTCCCAGGTAACCTTCTAGATGATCACCTGTCTGCTGCTCAGCCTGTTGCTTCATCTGTGAAATAGGAAAGCTGAGAAGCTTCGAGAGACTTCTGGGCCTCCTCTCCACCTGTAGGGTCCGTCCTCATTTCCTCCTTCCCCTCAGCTCCTGACTGCCCTTTAGGAAGCCCCCAGGACTGACACCACATAAAACAAGACAAGAGAGGTGGCGCCTGGGTGGCTCAGTCGTTAAGCATCTGCCTTCGGCTCAGGTCATGATCCCAGGGTCCTGGGATCGAATCCCGCATCGGGCTCCCTGCTCGGCGGGAAGCCTGCTTCTCCCTCTCCCTCTCCCTCTCCCACTCCCTCTGCTGTGTCTCTCTGTGTCAAATAAATAAAATCTTTAAAAAACAAAACAAGAGAAGTGCGCTCGCTCATCAGCCATGCCCTTTTCTGTGGGAGACGTAAGCCCCTCCTGCCTTCCTCGCTCCCACCAGGGGTCTCTCCAGTCCCCATCAGGGCCTTCTGGCCTGGCCTTGGAGCCCCGCCTCCTTCCCCTTCTGGAGGCTGCTGAAGGTGAACCCCACTCCCACACCTAACTGCAGGCCTCCACACGCCGCTATCCTAGGGTATTGGTGAAGAGTGTGGACCCTGACGAGACTAGCTGGCCTCAGCCCCGAGCTCCACCAGGTTTCAGATGTGTGGCCTGGGAGTCACATTGCCTCGCTGAGCCTCTCTTTCCCCCTCCTGCCCCGCAGGCTGGTCAGGGGATTTGGGGAGTTAGTGACCTCCTCCATCGCCTCCCCGTTTCCCGGAGCATCGTTGTTGCCTTCGTGTTCACAACCCAGGGGCAGAATCTCTGTGCCTTTATCTTGTCCTAGGATGGCTATTTAGTTTAAGGTCATCAAACAGCTTCAGAAGGATTTCTCAGATGCCTTAGCTGAGCTGAGAAGGTGCTTTTCTGAGCAGCGTGTTAGGAGACTTGGTGATAATACAGCAGCTGGAGACCGCCTCGCCAGCACGCCTGGGTGCAAGCCGCTTGGCTCCTACGTCCTGTGGCACACATGGTTTTATCACCCCGTTTCTTGGAGCAAGAAAACAAGGCCCAGAAGTGTACATGACGCCTCAGGGCCTGCAGGGGGTAGTGGGCTGTGCCAAGGCGTCTGCCTGGCTCCCTCTGACTTGGGGAGGACCCTGGGCCACAGATCCAGTGGCCGAGCTGCCACGCTGGGCTGAGCCTCTGACTGGCAAGAGTGACCTTCAGGTGGGTCGAGGCCTGGGCAGGTGCTCAGTGACAAGGGCTTGTCACAGCCAGGCCGGTACTGCCCCTTATGAGGTGTTTCCTCTGCTAGGATGCCGAGACAGCAGGGTCGTGTTCGGGGGCCCTGCCGACTGTGCAGAGCCCACGGGCGTGGCTTTCACAGCAGGCTGCTGATGGTGCCCTGGTGTGGGCTCCTTGCTCTGTATGTGTCTGCAGGTTCCCCATTGGCCGTTCTAGCTACCTGTGCTGGGGTAAGGGCCATTTGTGCCCAGGGCTCTGTCCTCAGCCCTCCTGACTTAGCTTTATTTTTATTTTTATTTTTATTTTTTAAAGATTTTATTTGACAGAGCACAAGCAGAGGGAGAGAGAGGGAGAAGCAGGCTCCCTGCTGAGCAAGGAGCCCGATGTGGGACTCGATCCCAGGACCCTGGGATCATGACCCGGGCCGAAGGCAGCCGCTTAACTGACTGAGCCACCCAGGCGTCCCTTATTTTTATTTTTTTGATTGAGTGAAATTCATATAAGATACAATGTAGCCATTCTCAAGTGACACAGTTCGGTGACGTTCAGTCTGTTCACCTTGTGCAATCACCTCCTTCTATCATGTTCCAAAACATTTTCACCACCTCGGATGAAAACTCTGTACCCATTAAGCAGTCACCCCTTGGCAACTTCTTCCTCCCAACCCCTGGCAACCACGAATCTGCTATTCATCTCAATGAACTTGCCTATTCTGGACCTTTCATATGAACAGTGTTACACAGTGTGTGTGACCTGTCGTGTTTGGCTTCTTACACTTGGCCCTAATGTTTTGCGGGTTCACCCACCCTGCCATTGTGTAGCCGAATAACGTTCCGTCCTGTGGAAGACACAGTTTGTGTGTCTGTCCGTGTGTGGATGGACGTTTGGGTTGTTTCCACCTTTAGCTGTTGTGAATGTTGTCATAGTACCTGTTCGCAGTCTGCTGGGTACATACCCAGGAGAGGAATTGCTGGTTACGGAGTAATTCTGTGTGTCAGTTTTTGACCCAGCTTCACTTTTACTTCTGATGGGTCGACCACCCTTCTTCCCCTTTGGCCCCTGAGCCCCACGACCCCCAGGACTCAGGAGTCCAGTATTTGTGGGGCACCTCCTGTAACCTTCCCCTGACGGACTCAGAGGCAACACAGGGCCCTCCCTGCACTAAATGCAGGTGTAGCATCTCCTTCCGGCCGGGCCGATACTGTTCCCACCACATCAGTGACCAGCAGAGGAGAGAGGCCTCGTTGGTCCTGTTTTGCACATGAGCAAACTGAGGCACAGTGAGGCTGAGTACTTTTCCCTAGGACCCCAGAGCTAGAAAGTCACTGTTAGTATTCAAATCCCTGTCCCCCTGATCTGCAGTCCTTCCCAAGGTTTCCCTTCCTCGGCGGCCCTTCCAGGGGCCAAGTTTGAGTCCGTGTGCCTGTCCCAGGCTGGCTGGGACCAGAGCAGGAGACCAGCAGTGTGGGGCCGTCCTTCTGGGTTGTTACAGGGACTAGACTCTTAGTACCTGCCAAGAAGCTAGTGGGACTTGGGGAGTGGCCGTGTGAGTGCTGCTCTCCAGGGGTCTGTCCTGCCCCCTTCCAGAGGGGAAGGCCAGGCTTTGGGGCCCCTGAGCAGGATCTCTGTGTGTGGTATGGTGTTGCACCTCCCCACCCATGGCCTGACTTGACTTCCGTGTGTCTGTGTGTGTGTGTGTGTGTGTGTGTGTGTACGCACAGCTGGATAAGATCGAGGGCGTGTTCGAGCGGCCGAGCGACGAGGTCATCCGGGAGCTGTCCCGGGCCCTTCGGCAGGCGCTGGGTGTGTCGCTCTTTGGGATTGACATCATCATCAACAACCAGACTGGGCAGCACGCGGTCATCGACATCAACGCCTTCCCAGGTGAGTGGTGGAGCCAGGAACCCCCTTCGTTGGTCTGTAGACCAGTGTCCTTGGGCGATGGGGCAGGAGGGTTGGGTTGACCAGCTCCCTATCTCCCTGGGATTAGTGCAGTCCTGCTAGGCCTCAGCGCCATCTGCAAAATGGGTTTATAGCGTGTGCTGAAGTTGGCAAACGAGGTCGGTGCATCCAGCCAGGGAGAGCACAGGGCGCTTAGTGGGCCTGCACTAAATACCTTTCACCCTCCTCACCTGACCCTGTGCCATCAGCACTAGCCTTTGTTGGCCAAACCTCAGCTAATCTGTTGGGTCCTTCTGGATTTAACGAGCTGAAAAGACTCCGGAGGGAGTACACCCTCCACAGTTTACCTGCGGGGAACGGAGTCTCCTAGGGAGGGAGAAATTATCCCAGGTCACAGGACAGGTTGGCGACTGGGCCGTGCTCCTGCCTGGGCCCTGAGCTGTGGTGCTGGGGACAGGCCTTGGAGCCGGCCAGCTCCTCGTTGCTGCGGCGCCGGCTTCCTGCTGTCTGTCAGAGCCCTGAGCAGGACGCATGTCCCGGGGCCTCCAGGGCTGTTGCCACCGCCTGGCTCTGCTGTGCTCCACTCATCTCGAGCAGCAAGGGGCTCAGTGGGAGATAGCACCCAACGAACCCTCAGTGGGACTGTTAGCTTGCAGGGATGATGGCCATGACTCCCCAGTTGGCGTTGGTGGAATGAGCCCGCTTTGCACGGGAGTGCCCCGAGCCTGGCTCGTCCCCCCCCTCCCAGCTGGCTTTGACTGTCAGCTTTATTAAGTGGCTGCAGTGGAGGTTAAGTCAGTGTCACTGCTCAGTGGGTGTAAAAACGTTCAGGAAACGGTTCCTCCCCTCAAGGAGGTTAGCATCTCGGGGGAGAGCCCAAGCGTGGCATGTGTGGAGTGCTCAGGGGGTGTGTGCAGGGCGCAGGGTAAGGCCTTTTCCATGGGGCGTGGAGCGCAACCGCAGGCTGAGCAGCTCCTGGGCATCAGGCTGGGTGCTTGACGCGTGTCCCCTGACTCAGCATGCAGCCAGGCCCAGCCACCATTGCAAGTCACAGCCACGGACACCAAGGCTGGGAGGACACCACTGGCTCTTTCCGCCATTCAGTCGAGGGCCTACTCTGTGTCCCAGCTGGTCCAGACACGTGGGTGTGGCGTGACCACGGCTCAGAGGAAGGGAAGGAGCTACCCGCTGAGGCCTCTGGGAGGGGCTGGGACAGGGAGGCCAGAGAGGAGCCCACCCTGTGGCATGGTGAAAACGTGGGGTTTCAACTCTGAGCTCGGTAAGAGTGAGCCACTGAGACCAGTGTTGGGGCAACGGCCTGTGTTTCTCCAGGCACCCTGGGTGTGGCCTGCATGGAGACCTGGGTGTTGGCAGAGGTGGGGTTTGGATGAGTAAGTGGTGGAATGAGAGAGACCAAGGGAATCCAGGGCGTGTCAGGGGAAACAGTGAAAATAAATGAGGGAATCTAAAGCAGGGGGCACACGGTTAGTGGTGGCTGAGCGTGAGGGTCGGTGGGGCAGGGAGGGGACGCAGGGCTGTCAGGGTAGAAGTTCTAGAAGGATGGGGTGGTGAGAGCGTGGGACTGTGCACTAGAGCTGTGGCTTTGTGCAAGGTCCTGAGCCGGCCCCCCCCCCAGCCTGTGCAGTTTGGGCTGGGCATCACGAGGGCATCCCGGGTGCTCAGAGGAGGGGCAGTGACTGTGAGCCAATGTGGGTGGAGAGGCTTCTACCCAGAGGAGCCCAGAGAAGGGCCACCGGGTGGGCCTAGGCATGGAGGTGGGGTCTGAGGTGGCCAGAGCACTGAGGCCGAGCCCAGCAGAGACCGCCTGAGGGAGCACGCTGCTGGGAGCATCTCCCCAGGAGATGGCTGCTCCCTGGCCTCTCCTGGCTTGGTTGGCAGGCACTCGTGGGCCCGTCCTGAGGCGTGCATGCCAGGGGAGGCCACGTCGGGCCCTGGGTGGGCGGTAGCGTCCCCGTCGAGGAGGCCGCATGCCAGGCTTGGGAAGTGGTAAGAGCAGTAGCTGTTGGCAGCATACCAGGTCTGCTCTGAGAGCCCTTTCTCCCCTTTTGTCTACACCACAGCACGCGTGCAGTGGGCTGTTAAGACCTCCCTTCACCTGTGGGAACGTGGCGGCAGGGGCTGGCTGACTTGCCCAGTCCTGTGGCTACCACGCGGTGGAGCTAGGAGCGGCGCCCTGCCCTCCTGACAACAAGGCTTCCTGCCTCTCAGCCCAAGGCGAGGGTTCAGATCCTGGCCCTGCCCTTCCAGGCTGTGATGGGACAAGCCACGGAGGTGGACACTTCTGCCCCATGGGGACAGAGCTTTCCACTGTGCAGAGACAGAGGCCGGGACGTTGGCACAGTGCCCGGCCCCGAGCTGGTGCCCGCAGCGCTCGTTCACGCTCCGTCTGCTCTCTCCAGGCATTGGGGCGCCGGCTGTGTGGCTTTTAGCCGGGTCAGGCTGACCTCAGGGGCCTCCGCTAGCCTGCAGTTCAGCCTCGGGTCTCCATACCACCCCAGGAAGCCCCAGAAAGCACACATGCCCTGCCCTGGGCCTCTTCTGGGGACCACAGAGCGGTCGCTGAGGGAACAGCCTGACTGTTCTCCAGCCCTCCGCTCTCTGCCTGCATCTCTACCCCGGAATCCCAGCAGTGCACCTGCGCCTCCCTGCCCATCCTCCCCGGCCTCCCCCAGGCCTCAGTGGGCCACCCAGGACACCACAGGATAGTCAAGGCACAGATGACCAAAGCGCTGATTGAGGTCCTGGCTCTGTCACTTGGGAGCTTTGTGTCCTCCTCTGTAAAACGAGGCGAATCCCTGGGTCCCCCTCCCCAGGGGCTGTGAAGAGGCCCAGAGGCCGGCACTTCATGAGCCTGAGCCTGGTGAATAGCAGCTGTGGGGGTCCACACCCTCACTGTGCACAGGCCCGCGTCAGTCCCCTTGTCCATAGGGCCCATCACTTAACTCTCTGTGCCTCTGTCTCCTTGTCTGCAAAATGGGGACAGCGTTGTGAAGAATGAGCATGGTGCTTCAGCTCTTGTACCCGTTGCTGTGGGCACTTCTCCCCCCTCAGCCTCGGGCGCCTCAAAGCCGTAGCTTTTGTTTGCTGGGCAAGTAAGATTGTGGACAAATGAGGCTGCCCCTGCCACCTGGCCCCGCGTGGGCTCTCCTGTGACAGGGGTTGCGCCCTGCTCGTTTCTGAGGCTCACTCCCAGCCGGGCTGTGCTGGCAGCTGTGAGGGCCCTCCTGGAGGATGTGCAAGGGTCCTGGCACCCTCTGAGCACTGGCCTCATGTTGCTGATAGAGGCCACGTTCGTGCGGGGGGTCGGCAGTGCCTGGAGCCCCTCCCGGGGTGGGCACACGCTCTCTGTCCTGGTCTTGGAGCTGTGTGCCCAGCCCTCCGGCCTCCAGGGTGGTTCAGGGTGGGGGGAGGGCACCCACTCATGTTGAATTTCTACCAAAGCAGTTTTTTGGGAGTCAGCAGAATCCTTGCTCTAGATCACAAACCGGCTCGGTGGGTAGCTCCCGAGGACGTGTTTGCTGACTTTTGCCTTCATATCTGTGTTAGGAAATAAATGTGGGCTGTGGGCAGCCCCAGGCCCCGCTCTGTTAGAGGCACGGGTGTGGGTGTGCAGTGGCCCCACTGGGGGCACCCAGTCTCCGTCCTTTGGCTTTGATGCTCCGAGCACGTGACACAGAGGGCCTCCCTCCGGGTATTTTGGCGGTGAGGAGGCAGCAGGCTCTGTTCCAGGAGCGGCCACTGTCGATCCCGCGTCCCCTTGGGCGTGACACAGCAGCCTCCAAACCGAGACCTCTCAGTTTACACAGGAGGAAGCTGAGGCTGGGCCACGTGGAGTAGAGGGCTTGTTTGTGATTGAGAACGTGAGGAGTGGGCCTTTGGTACCGCCCCGCCCCGCCCCGCCATTCCTCTTCCCCACGTGCATCTTAGCACACTGGGTGGGTGAGTTCACAAGACGCTGAAGCTGTGTGTAAGAGGGACAGGGTGCAGGGTGTCTGCCTGTCCCCAGTGTGACAGCTTCTCACACCCTGGGGACAGCTGAATTCGAGGACTAGCCCTTTGGGGGCCGCCCACACCCAACTTTGAGTCTAGGCTTGGTGGCTTCAATGTGTCCCCTTATTTACTGAGCCTTGGTTTTCTCTAAATCCTGAGCGTGCCCACCTCGAGTTCTGCGAGCCCTGTGGTCAGCCTGCGCCCCGCTCTGCCCCGCGCCCACGGCCCGTCTCCACCGCAGCCTGGCTCAGCGCCCCGTACTATCTGTCTTTCCCACCCGCAGGCTACGAGGGCGTCACCGAGTTCTTCACAGACCTCCTGAACCACGTGGCCACCGTCCTGCAGGGCCAGAGCGCGGCCACGGCAGCTGCGGGGGACGTGGCCCCGCTGAGGCACAGCAGGCTCCTGGCGGAGCAGGCAGGCAGCCTGGCGGGCGAGCGGACGTGCAGCGCTGGCCCTGGCTGCTGCAGCAGCATGATGGGCCCGGACCCCCCCTGGATGTCGGAGGCCGACGCGGGCAGTGTGGGCCCAGGCGGCACCACCAAGCTCCCGCACCAGAGACTCGGCTGCACTGCCGCCGTGTCACCCAGCTTCCAGCAGCACTGCGTGGCCTCGCTGGCCACGAAGGCCTCCTCCCAGTAGCCATGGAGCCCAGGACCCAGAGGGCGGCGCGGGCCGCAGAGTGCACCTGCTGGGTCAGCCCCTCCCAGCAGTGACGCTCCTACTAAGAATTCCCAGCGATCTGATTCTTCTTCTTCTTCTTCTT